ATTATGGACTACTGGACTCTTTTTAGAATATTTGGCTGAGTTAACACACCTATAATATTCCAATAATGGAACTAAACAAAAAAGGGGATACAGATGAATGTCCATTTTGTATCTGTGTATTTAAAAGGGTTAGGATAGATATATAGTTACATTCTCTTAATGAATAGAGGGATGTGTTCTAATAGAATTTGAATAGGATATCATGTCTGCATCTTGTATAGCAAATAACCACTAGGAAGAATGTATGCAATGTGTTAATTATTGAAACTGTCCTACCAATTTGGTTTGAAACTGTCTCATTGCTATTTGTTTCTCAATAAAACTATAGAAAAAAATAACGCTTATATGATAAGAATGATAAGAATGTTATAATTCTTTCAGTTTTAACTATGTTACATTTTATTATTTCACAATATATTTCAATAACTGTCATAACATTCACCTTAACTGCTGTATAAGACCTGGAATAAAAGAACACTTGGAACACACACGCACACACACACACACACAAACAAAAAAACTAAGAAGGCTTTTATATTGATATGTAAAAATGACTCAGATAAAGTGTTGAGAAAAAAAGCAGACACTATGCACAACACTTTGCTATTTACATTAAAAGGGCCATAAGACATATTTTGATGTTCACTTATATATGAAGCAAGACACTAGAAGCCTATAAAGAAACCAACAGCATAGGAAGCATTAGCTTCATGTGTTGCTTTGGGGAACTGGACAAGTAAGTAACAGGATGGGAGGAAAGTTCTTTACTTTAAATTTAAGTTTTGATCTATATACATGTGTTAATCATTAAAAATTATATAAGCATATTAATTTTAAGTTGAAAAGGACAATGGACAGAGATAGAAGCATCCTAAAAGAAGTGGCTTTCCAAAACAATGTTATTGATTTTGCAATTTTATCTGGTTATAAGCAGAGAATTACTTTAATCTGAAGCAGCAGAGATTTAGGCTTGGTATACAGAAGACCTTGCCGACATGAAAGAAACTTGCCAACATGTCACTATTGTTGGTTCTCCCTCTCTCCTTTCCTCCCTCTTTTCTGTCCTAGGGATTGAACCCAGCACCTTCATATTGAGCTACATCCCAGCTTTTTCCTTTTGAGACAGGGTCTCAGGAAGTTCTCCAGGAAAGGCTCAAACTTTGATACTCCTGCCTCAGCCTCCCAAATGCTGTGGTTACAGGTGTGCACCTCCAGGCCTTGGTAGGGAACTCAATATTGAAATGAAGAGATGAACACTCTTAACTAATGGACTTAAAAACAGGCCAGACTGTTACAAGTCTGCACATAGGCAGCACAGGGTAGCAGTCTACAGGTTCTGAAGAGACCATGATTAATGATCTGACACACAGGTTCCTCCCAAATGGATGACTTAAGTGTAGCACATTGCTCATCTCAGGTTTCATCTTGCCTTACCTAAAAATGGGGTTAATAATATAGTAGTAACCCATCAATTTGCTAGGAGGATTAAATAGGATATATAAATGAAGCATTTCTCTTCTGCATAGGAACAGACAAATTTGAACCTGCCTGAAAGCACTCTTCAAATCCCTATGGTCTGAAAGGCTCACCTCTCAGAGAAATGGCCTGTGCCCTTCCCCTAAAAGAGTTCTTTCTCAATATTAAGTTTTTCTCTGAAATCTTACATGGCTCTCTTTGATGAGTTTCTGGCGAAGGTCAGATGTTCTGCCATGCATGTAACAAATGTACAGCCTTCAACAATTGGAAATCATCAGTAAAGTGGAATGTAAATCAGTGAACAGTATAACTTCAAAGCAACCACCTTCCTTGGATGAACAGGAGATACCACACTTTCCTTTATTCAATCTTTAAAACTGCCAGTCTAGTGGCTGGTTAGATCAGTTGGTTAGAGTATGGTGCTGAAAAAACTGCCTGTCTGGCAAGCCTCATGCTCCAGGAAAAAGCCATCAAGAAAGTCCTTCCAAAGGTCTGCAGAACAGGAAGAGAAGCAGTACAGTCAGCTTTTTTTTTTTTTCCCCCCTTGCAGGAAGGGAAGGCTAAACAACTGCACATCAGGAAAGAAGGCAAGCAAATTGGCCAATTGAGCCCAAATAAGCTGCTCCTGTGGGAAGCGAAACAGCTGGAGCCAACTCAGCCAGATATAGAGGTGAAGGGCCTGAAGAGAGCTGGGTGTGAGGACCTCACCCCTGGGAGGCAAGGATCTTCTGAGCAAGTGATGGTCATGTGCCCTCTGCTCAACTCTGTTGGCCTCAACATGCGTCCACAAATGGGACCAGCCAGAAAATGTCATCAGATGCAGAGAGAAATACTGGGTGGAAAGGAAGAAAGCAAACCAACCAACCAGCAAGGGAAGCAAGCACCAGTGGAGTGTGGTGGATTCAGAGAATGAACCTAACATACCTAGATGCCTACTCCTTTTTCAGGCTTATCTGTTGCATGTTGGTTTGACATGAAGGCTGCTTCTACCTTTGATAAAGCCCAGGTTCTTTATATTCTGCTCCAGCCTATTCCATCACTGAGTTATACTTGTTATGGTGGGTGCAGTTTTAGCCACTGCTGGGCTAAAACTCAGGGACTGCAGCAGGACGCAGGGAATCTCATCTAAGGTGGGCAACAACAGGCAGGTGATGGGAGAAACTGGCTGTGTGGAACAAGCCTGTGAGCCAGAAGAGCTCTTCTCTCCCTCCACCTTGTCTCCTTCTTGCTGGCTTCCTGCCAGACCTAACAGGCAGATTCTTGTTACTCTGTGTGTAGAGCGTGCACCCTGCAGGGCTCCATTGGGTGCTATACGTCATCAGTGGTGAGAGCATCTGTCTCCCAGCTCACAGGCAGACAGGCAGGCAGGCAGGCAATACCCAGAGTACTGTTCTGGGCCCACCCTTCCTGACTCTGCAAGCTTTCACTCAGCAGACTGTTCACCTGGCCCTCAGCACTGGAGACAAAAGGAAAAATAAATCTACTTTCAAGGAGCTCACTGGCAAGTCCTCTCCCACTATCTCTAATGGCCTCCATACTTGGGGACAACTTACCATAATGGTATAATTACTCACTCCTGTCAAAAAATACACCGGGACTGGGTGACTGGTTACACTGACACATTCTCATCTCCCTACCCCTCCTTAAGGAGACAAGGAACAAAGACAACAGGCCAGGCATTCTACATACTATCTCACCTCACCTTTCCCTACAATCCTACAAGGAGGAATTCTTACCGCATTACACAGATGAGGGGGAAAATGGCAACTCATAAGGAGTTGAAGCTGGTGTAGACTGAGGCTACCTGTCATCTTACCTCTTTCTATAGCTCCAGCCTGCCTGTGTCAGCTCAGCCTGATGCTCAGCCAGCTCTGGCCTTGGCCTCTCCTTTGTCACCACTTTCCTTTTTTGTTTCCTCTTCAGTCTTCTTGCTTCTGCTAGTCCCAGAAGAAATTTGCCCTCTCCAAGTCTAGTTACAGCAGCAGTGCTGGTGACAGTGGTGGCAGCAAAACACCCTTTGAGTCTTGGATTAGCTTGTCTTAATTATACCCAGGCTGGAACAGTGCCAGTAGAAATGATCTATTACTGCTGCAAAGCATGCAAGTTGGCTGTTACTTTTTCTAGCTTTTTCTCTGACTCGAACCCTCTGCTCCCCACTGCTGCCAACAGCTTCCCTCCTCTGCTGGCCTTGGTTCTGCCCCTTGTACAGCACATTTGGGCCTGCAAAGCAGTGCCTCAGACTACTGCCACTCCAGGGAACTGAGTCTGTCCAGCTCAATTCAAGAATGTATGAGTCTTCACTGAAGGCCAGAAACTGTGCTAGGTGCTGTGAACATAGGGGCCTCAGAGTCAGAGGCTAGGAGACACAAACAGGAAGAGAAATCACTAACACAAGACAGGCAGCGTGAGACTGTGATATGTCCTAAAATACCAGAGCTGGAGGAAAACTTGGTTTTCTGTTTTAAGGCCTCCATTTTAGAAGTGGGAGACTTTAAGTTCAAAGCATGGCAAGTAGTTGAACTAATAATGTCCAGTAATAACAACTAAAATTTTAAAGGCCTTGCCGGGAGCTAGGAGCCATTCTGTGAGTTTTGTGTACATCCATTCACTTAACCCTAACAACAGAATTAGGCAGTAAACACAATCACCATCCCATTTTAAAGGTGATAAAGTGAGGTGTAGAGGGGTTGACACCTTGTCATTCACAATAGTAGTAAACAGAAGCCTGTACTGACCTCAGGCTCTCTGGACTACACTGTAGTCTACTATGCTATGAGTTGGAGATTGACTCGACCTGTGAAAACAGTGAAAGGACTTCTAAATGAATTGCACATATGTCCATCATAAAAACCCTGAACTTTGTAATATGCAGAGCCACCCTAGAGGAATTCTCAATCAGAGGTCTGGGTCCAACTGAGAGTTCCTTAGTGCTATTTAACACAAGTTAGTAAGGGAAGTGAGCAGAGCTGTGTATTTCCAAAGAAAGAACCACACCAAGAAGAAGGAAATCGATAGAAAGGATTTATTCAAAGAACCAGAAGCAGTCTGATCCATTTTTCTTTTTAACAGTACTGAGATTGAACTCAGGGACTCTCACATGGTAGGAATGTGATAGTATTGTAGCTCTAATAGTTACAATAGAGAATGTGGCTCTAACACTGAGCTACATCCCAAGCCCCACTCTCACTCCTCTTTATGCCCAAGTGTCTATGCATGATACCCCAACCATTAAGTCCTTTAGGATACCCCAAGTGCCACTTCCTGAGGCAAGAAGGCCGGCCCTGGCATCTGATAAAGGTTTTCAGGAAAGGCTCCCATTCCCCTAAATCTCCCCAATACATACACACACATACACACACACACACACACACACACACACACACACACACACACGCACACACAGCAGAGACACACACATACACATACACACACACACTTAAACCCTGGCTTTGGTTAACCAAGTCTTCTCCAATTCTGTCTACCAGTTTCAGAATAAACACAAGATTGGTATAAAAATTACTTACCAATTACTGCCAAATTATGTTCTGAGCCACAGGAGATCTATAAAAAGAAAAAAAAAAACACTAGACAAAGAAAACTTATAGTGATATATCAGCCAGTATATTTTACGATCACTATTATTTCCTAATGACACCAACATTTTTTGGCAAATTTTAGGAAACAGAAAGAAGTACCATATACAAAGGTGAGGACTATAATTGCAACATACTCAAAAAGTCATAAAGGAAGCATGAAATAAGCAACAGAAATGCACCAAGATGTGAAAGAAGTCATCTTTAACCAGTTAAACCATGATAATTTTTTCTATTTTTTTATATATTTCAAACTTTCTATAATGAGCATATGTTACTTTAAAAATGAAAAGATAAGGCAATAAAGATAACAGATTTTAGAAACAGAACTGAAAAGACCATCATTCTCATCTGGACTGATAAAATGAGCAAAGGATGAAGCAAACAGACTGGGCTGAGGAGACGTTCAACTTTTCATCTGCTCTCCCCACTTCCCTTGCAGCCACACACACTCCACTTCCTTGAGCCCGCCCTCTTCTCTCACACTTGCGGGCCTTTGCAATGCTCTTTCTGCCACCAGAATGCTGTCTCTGCTACTGTCTACCTAAAAAGCCCCTTCTCACTCCTTAAAACCTCAAAGCACATAATCGGACCCTTCTGCTGCTGATTCTATGCAGACTCACACACTCAGTCACTTGCACTTCTGTTAGCCATGTATTGTAGCAAACACTTGTTGCTTTTTTTCAGCATTCTTCTTGTCTCCCCACTAGACTGCAAGCATCCAGGGAGCAGAGCTGAGTCTCATCCACCTCTATCACACAAATACATTCCAAAAGTCTGTGACTCAGTTAACATCTGCTACATCAGAGAAGAAATAAAAGTACACAAAGGAACAAATGCTTAATATGTGAAAGACAATCAGGGTTCTGAATCCAGTGTGTTCCCAACCAGTAGGAGGCATTTCTTGCCTTTCAGTCTTGCTGTGTTCCAACACAATTCCGAGAGGAAGTGACTGGAAATCTAAAAGCATAAATGGTTCCCTTGGGACTAATAAGAGGAACCCTAGATTCTGGAGAAGTGCCCTGCGACCTTTCCCAGCTCACTTGAGCTCCTAGCAAGAGGAAGGTCCCAGGTACTCTGGAATGTGGGTGCAGGCTGGCCCTGGAAATCACCTATATTGCCAAGAGAAGCAGGGGCTTGGGAAGAGAAAGTAACTTGCCTCAGGTCTCAGAGCAAGTCTGTGACAAAACTACAACAAAAGCCACCATTATATTCTCTAGTATGAGATCAGCTTTTTTGATTCACATGAGTGATTCCTAAGTGAAGGCATGTGTTGTTTGTCTTTCTGTGCCTGGCTTGTTTCACTTAATATGATGTCCTTCAGGTTCATCTGTAATGTCACAAATAGCTGTAGTTAACAATAATACATTGTATTCTTGAAAAATCTAAGATATTTAAAAATTTTTCTCTGATAAAAATGACAAGTGTGTGGGTAATATGTATGTTAATTAGCTTGATTTAGCCTTTCCACTATATATATTTCAAAATATCTTATCATACATGATTTTATATATAGAGAAAAAACTTTAACTGTCAATTAAAAAATATTTTTAAAACCCTATGACTACAGCCACTTTAAATCTCCTGATTTTCACAAGAGTTCCTTTCTTAATGCTAGATACTGTATTCTAGGAAAAAACACTTGGAAACAAATTCAAAGGTTCTCAGCAGAGGCACTGACAGTGAAGTAACTTGGAGCGCTAAAGGTCATCTCCACATGATAGACCAGAAGGGGCAACAAGTTTCCTCAGCTTCTTCCTCTGGAGAAGCTGTGCTTGCCTGAGCCCTACCTTCCACTGAGAAGAGGACTGTGCACATTTATATGGGCTCCCTAGAGTGTTTAGTAAAAAAGCCTCTGTAAATTTGACCCTTTGGAAATAGTTCAGATTGTCCAGTCTCTGAACTCCTTGGAAGCTGGCTATATCTGTGATTTACCTAAGGGTTGCAGTATGCTTTGCCCAGGACCACATACTGTCTATGACACAAGTTCATTATAATTCTGGCTGTCCTCGGGCTACTTCCCTGAGTCTGCTATAGGAAGTAGCTTAGATTGATGAATAGGAAAAAACTTATACATCTAACTGATAGGTTATCGAAAGTGTCCAGCAGAGAAACAGAAAGAAGGAAAAAGTGGAAAGGGGCTTTATTATAAAGGGAAAGGGCTTTATTATCCTGGAGGACACGGAGAGAATCTCAGCAAGATAAGGAATTCTCTGGATTGGAACAAAGGGAGGCTGAGGCTCTTATGGCCTTTCGCCAGGGGTGGGGCTTGAGGGGGATGTTTAGATACACCTGAGGAGCTGGTTGGGGACTTCCCTGAGGCGTGGGGAATGGTGAAAGGAAATTGCACCCTGGGCTGAGTTAGGGAAGAAGGGGGGAGGTGGTCTCTGGGAAGATAAGCTGTTGTTTTAAGGGCTTCAGCCATATTAGATGACCACCATAATAATTCAACAATTCATACTAGGGCCATAACCTATCACTAACAATATGGAAATGTATATAATTTATATTATGATACAGCCATCTGATTATTAAGCAGTTTTGGACACTGAAACTTATAGCAATAAGAAAATATTCATGTTATTGTACAAACTGAAAAATTATATAAAATTATATAACATGATCTTGATTTTACAATAAGACAAGAGTAAAAATGACTAGAAGGAGATATATTGAAGTGTTAACAGTGACTGCCTCTGGTCTAGGGATGCGATTAGGATTGTGTGCATGGTTTTTCTTTCACTGTACTCACTGAATTTTACATTTTTGTTTGTTGTTGTTGTTGTTGTTGTTGTTGTTGTTGTTGTTGTTTGGCAGTACAGGGGACTGAACTCAGGACCTTGCATTTGCCAGGCAAGCACTTATTCTACTGAGCTATCTCCCCAGCCCTTACATTACTATTCTTATAATCAGGGGGAAATGTATTAAAAATAAGGTAAAAGAAATATAGTAGTTCCTACCTCAGAAAAAAGCACCTGGCTATGAAATGTGGTATACTTAGAAATAGTGCATGTGTGTTGCTGGGCAATGTGACTAAATTGTCCAGTTACAAGCTGCATCATGGTGTTAACAGTGTAAGAATTTTTTTCTTAAATTCTCTTTAACTATAGTGGGATTACCAGTAGTGATGGTGTGAGTGATCAGAACAGAAATTAAAAACTATTATACCGAGGACTTGTATGTGCCAAGCACCACAGCAAAGTACTTTATAAACATCATCACATTTTAATCAGCACAATATTCTTTTCAGATAGGTTTGGCTTTGCTCATTTTAGAGGAGACAAACATTAAATCACCTCCATAGGTAGTCAGGGAGGCAGCAACAGAACTAATACCCAGCTTTGTCTGATCTCTAAGCTAGTATTTACCACTGAATCATGTCATTTCTTTTTTAAAGTGGTTATTTCACTTTATAAAGTACAGAAAGAAAGAACCGGCTTCTATCAGCCAGGGTTGACCTGGGGCTGTGGACTGCAGAGATGACCAGCCTTGAGGCCCACAGGCTTCAAGAATCAAGCCACTGACAAGTGCCAGTATCAGGTAGCAAATGCTGCTCTCAGTTAATGAGTGAGACAGTGATGAATTGACTTTGTCAAGCCAATGCAGAACTCAAAGCTCCCCGATGCTTCCTGCTCTCTGTGCCCTGGCATAGAGGTCAGAAGACAATACCACAGGCCACAAAATCCCAGTGCGACATTCCTTCAACAAGATTGTATCAATGACCACTTCCTTCATATTGCTTCTGTCAGCATCTACACACTGCCCAGCTGTTGCAGCTTTCTAGAAGACTCTGTTAACAATGGCAATATGCCCAGGAGAAAGTGATTTAGAGCCAAGAAGCCAGGTGAATCCTAAGTCCTCTGCTTTCTGGCTCTGAAAGTCTTGGCAAGGAATTTAATATAGGGCATCACTGTTCTCAGATGTAACAAGTAGACAAGGGTTTTGCCTTGTCTGTCCTACAGAACTGCTACAGGGGATATGTGATATTCCATCTTCTTCCAGCTATACACCATTTTTCTTGCACACAGATACAATGACATCACACTCCTATATATGTCCCTTCAGTTTGCCAGTATTGGTATGTGTTATGGTTTATGTATAGGTGCACTCCCAAAGCCTCAAGCAGTTATGAGGCAGCTTCTGTAGTGTGTTTAGTGATTTTTTTTTTCTCCCTGGTACCAGGAATCAAACTTGGGACCTTGTACTTGCCAGGCAGGTGCTTATGCTACTGAGCTATCTCCCCAGCCCTAAGCTTCCAGGAGTTTGTGATTGATTATTGTGGGTGTGGATGCTGCACCAGCCCTGGGCAGGTAATTTGCATTACAATGTAAGGAAGGAAGGCTCACTAGCTACCTGAGCTGTGGCCCCTCTCATTTGCTCTCTGCTCTTTGCTGCCACCATGAAAGATTGTTCTCTGCCATGTGCCACGCTGCCTTGAAGTCAGCTGAGTATGAACTGAAACCTCCAGTAACTGTGAGCTATATAAACCTTTCCTTTCTTAATTTTAAGTTTTGGGTATTTGTCCCAGCAACAAGAGAATAGTAACTTGCCGCAGGATCCTGAACAGACCCAGAGCGCAGGCCCAGCATGGAACCCTTCAGCAGAACTCCCTGCAAAGAGGCTAGAGGCAAGACCC